CTATAAATATTACTAAAAAGAAGAGTAAAAGTAAAAATGTAATGTTTGCGGCAAGATTTTTGCTAATGAGAGAACGCTGAGAATCATGATAATAATAATGAGGATGATAATGGTGATGATGATGCTGATGATGATGATGATGATGATGATGATGATATATGTATGTGTATGCTTAAAAATTTTTGTTTTTTTTTTCGTCTTGTTTTGTATTAATTACTTAGGTTTTATATAAACAGAAACGTAAAATAAAATATATTCTATTTAGAAACATTTGCTTGTTTGTTTGAATACCCTTTGTTTTTTAGCCATTTTCAATGGCTACAAAAAGGGGGCATAATGTATTTGACTTTTCTCAGGTTTAGATGCCAAATTAATTTAGAGGGCAAACCATCAACAAAAAGCTGAACATTATGAAAATCGGTTGAGTTTTGACCGAGTTATGGGAGTGGGAAATTTCGACCTACGTCTAGCATATGTAGGATATTTGGGGGTATCATTTTTACATGAATTTCGACCAAAAATAATGTTGCCAGATTTAGATGCCAAATTGATATTAACTCCAAAATATAAACAAAAAGGTAAACCTCGTGAAAATCGGTTGAGTTTTGACCGAGTTATGGGAGTGGGAAATTTCGACCTATGACCTAGGATGAAGGGTACCATTTTTACATGAAATTCAAAACTGAGAGACTAGTTCGCATAGAAACAGAGCGACGGACATGGCTATATTGACATCCGAGTCTGTTGATACGGATCGAGAATATATATACCTAATGGGGTCGGAGATGTCTACTTCTGTGCGTTACACATTTCGATATGAATATCCTCTGCAAGGGTATAAAAACTCGAGCTTTCTGCAATTTCCAGGAAACAATAGAATAGACATTATTTGCCTGGGTTTTGATATCCTGAACCCTGATGTTGGGCAGGAGAGGATATAACACTTCTTTCGCTTTTTAAAAAGTTTCATTTCACGAGTAACTGATCGAGCTTAAAAAAGATTTCTTTTAAGAGTTATATACACATTTACACACATATCTATTTGATGTACACATTATAAAGGTATTTAACATCCTAAATGGCTGGATAATTTATTCATCTTCTTCGTTTTCGGGCGGCTGCTGAACGTGGCTCTCGACATCGAAGAAGGCGCGCCTGCTGCGCTTGGCCTCGCTGGCCATTTGATTGCCATCGAATTTGGCGGCCGTGCGTTTGCGCAGCTCGTCCACATCCTGTTGATCCTCATTGGAGGCCCACTCGAGCACCAGACGGCGTCCATACAAATGGGTGCTGGCGCTGAGCGCATCAAATGCCCGCTTCGCATCCGCTTTGGTGGTGAAGTCGACAAAACCAAAGCCACGATGCGCATCCTCGCCGGGCGTCATCTTCTTTGGCAAGCGCAGCGAAGTCAGTTCGCCAAAGGCCCTGTGTTTGAGGAAGAAGGATTCAAATATTTAGTTGATGCGGCATTTGGTTTGGATTTGAAGAGAGTGCACCCACTTGAATATATCGCGCACCTCGCGATAATGCGCCTGGAAGGGTATATTGCGCACCAGAATCTTGGTGCCAGTCTGTTTCTTTTGTGCCACCTGGCGACGCCGTGCTCCATCGTCCTGTGTTCTGTCAAAAGAAGCAAATACAACATGAATCCAATCTCCCTTTAGATCCAATCTCTAGCTGTTAACTCACTTGAGGACGCGATCGCTGCGCTTTAGCTCGACCAGATTGCCATCGATTTGGGTTAGCTGCATGTCCTTGAGCGCCTGTGAGGCAACAGATGCCTTTTTGAACTGTATAAAGCCATAGCCCAGGGAATTGAGCTGTCGCGGATTCTGTGGATCCTTGCGCTTGGCTATCTCAACGGTGTGCACAGTGCCCAATTGCCGAAAATGTTCGAGCACCGTTTCCTTCACGGTCTTGAAGTTCAGATTACGCAGAAATAGGGTCGTGTTCGGTTCCGGTTCATCGTCCGCATCTTCCGCCACGGTATCCGTTTTGAGCGGCTCCTCTGTCTTCAACTCCGGCTTCTCCTCCTCCTCCACATCAGGTTCGGGTTTGGGTTCAGTTTTGGGTATGATAGCCTCGCCGCTTAAGGTCTTGGTGAAGGTGTTCTCCGGCGCCCATTCCAGATAGAGCGGCACATTCTTGAACTTGCTGTAGGCCAACTTCTTGAACGCCTGTCGCGCCTCCGACGGCTCACAGTACTCGATGAGCGCGGTGACGCCGCTGGGCGGCAGGACAATGCGTCCGATGGGACCAAATTTACTGAAGATGGACGCCAGTTCGGTTGCTTCGGTGCCAGCGGGCAGATTCTTGGCCAGCAGCACAGTCTTCGAGCGCTTCTGGGCGGGCTCATCGAAGGCGCTGAGACGCACGCCCTCCTCCTCGAGAAACTTTTTCATTTCGATGACAATCTGCGTTTCGCCGAGCGCAAGTCGCACGGCGGCGCTGCTGCCACCATCGTCGGTGTCCAGAATGTGCGCCTTGCTGGTCTTAAACTGTTTGGCCAGCAGCTCGGCAACGGCATTGGCGCCCATAAAGAGCGTGTTCCAGCCAATGGGCTTCTGGGCATTCTGCTTCAGCTTGAGCGCCTTCTTCTGCTTAAACGAAAGACCCGACTCGAGCTCCTCGTTCGTCTCTTCCGCGGGCTTGTCCAGCTCCTTGCCGGGCAGCAGGTGCAGCAGGCGACCATGGAAGGTGGTGCCATCGAGCGCATTAAATGCCTTGAGCGCATGCTCCGGCATCATGAATGTAACCGTGCCAAAGCCTTTGATCTGCCTGGTCACCTTATCCACGGGCAGATTGACCTCGACAACGGGTCCGAATGGCTCGAAAATCTGCTGCAGTTCCTCCTCGGTGGTGGTGTAGGCCAAATTGCGAAAGAATATGCGACCCGAATCGGATATGTTCTCCTCGCTGCGCAAGCTATCCTGTTGCTGCTTCCACTTGGCATTGCCGCCCGCTGCCGCCTCTTGGTCGGCTGCATCTACGGGTTTGCCGCTTTTCGCCGCCTTCGTTACTTTATTCTTTGCCGTGAAGTCCGAGAAGAACACCTGCTTGCCCTTGATAAAGCTCTTGTTCTTGATCATGCCCTTGGCCATGTCGCGCTCAGTCTTGAAGCCCACATAGCAGAAGCCATGCACCTTGCCGGGCAGACGCACCGAGTAGGGCTTGAGCGGCTTAAAGAACTTGATAATGTCCTGGCGCTTGGTATTGTACGGCACATTGTGGATTTTGATGGTGAACAGTTCCAGATTGCTTTTGTCCGGCTTCGTTTGTGTCTTGGCCTTTGGCTTGGCATCTGTTTTGCCGGCCATTAGGGACTTCATGTACTCCATGTCGCTGATGGGCTTCTCGGCCAGCTTTTCTGCCTGCTGTTCGTCAGCCTCGTCTTCTGGCGCCTCCTCCTCGTCGTCGTCGTCGTGATTGTCTGCATCCACGCCGCTGTCATCACGTGCCGGCGCTTCAGTCTCATCGTCGCTTGCCTCCCCGGCGGACTGGGCGCCAGCTAGGCCCGCATCGTTGGCCCAAAGGGTGCGCGTCTTGTCGTGCGCCTGGAGAAACTCTTGAAATTCTGGATCATCCTTGTGCTTGCCCAGTATTTCATCGACTTTGTTTGGCTTCTTTTTCGCCTTCTTTTGGTCTGTTGTCTCAGCCGCTGGCTGTTCTGCCCTCAGCTTGTCTTGGTTCTTCTTGCTGTCCTTGGCATATTTGCTCCACGATTGCGGCTTCTCCTCGCTGCCCAGCGCCGCACACGACTCCACGCGCACGCGGCTTGTCTGTATGCAGGTATTGTTGAAGTGTTTGATGGCCGCCTGTGCCTCCGCCTCGCTGCTGTAGCCCACAAAGCAGAATTGCCGGAACTTGCCATCGGGCGTGTATTTCAGCTGCAGATCTGTGATGGTGCCCTTCGTGCCGAAGATGCTGCGCAGCTTATCCTCACTTATCTAAGTTGGTCAACTGTTTAGCACCGAACTGTCACAATTTAGAGTAATTCACTTACCTGCTTGGGCAGCTGTTTGACAATAATACGCGACATTTTTGTTGTAAACCAATGAAAAACGTTGTGAATTTACAAGAAATGCATTTTGTTTACGATTCGCACGTGTATTGCAGAGGCTCTCGAAAATCTGGCAACACCAGCGGCAATGCGTTAAGCCAGAGCAATTTACAACACTGCCAATCAAAATTTAAACTTAACAGTGCGCTGTTATTGAATTAAAGTGCCCATTGAAGCACACACTGTAAATCTGGCAGTGCTGTAAAGCAATGGCCAGCTGTGGGCAGTTACTTATTCGAAGGTTTACAGCACTGCCAACGAAATTCAAATTCAAATTTGTTCAAATTGAAATGCGCACAAATGCACAGCTTGCAATATATTGTTTGTTAACAGGCGGAACGTTTGCAATTTCTGTTTTATAGCCATTAAAAAAACAGGTCTTGACACTTGAACCACTTGGATGGCATGCACTTCCGGCTTACCGTCTTTAATTGATGGCCGGCTATAAATAACATGTCTACATGCACAAGTTGTTATCACATATGCATACGAGCTTACAATCGAACATGTAAACAGCCCATTGCACTATCTAAGGCTTGCATCAGCCGATGAGCTGGGGTCGCCTTGCTGGGTGGCCACTGTAGCCAGGGTCCATGCAGACACCGACGACTCAGCCTCGACGAATTTCACCATGACGCCACGCTCATAACCTTTGGATGGCTGTCATTGATATATGGTCAAAGAATTCGCACCAACGACGCATTAAGAAGCCCGAACGTTCGGCTTGGCGGCAGGGGTCGGTAGGCATCCCATCTTGATAAGGCGGGCAGAGAGAGAGAGAGCGCGCGCTCATCTTTTAATTGAGCATTTTTCTGTATTTTGTTTATTTCTTACCACTTATTCAAGTGCGTTCATTAGCGCTATTTGAATAGATAAGAAGCGCTGTGCGCTCGCCCAGCTATAAAGCCGCACGAGCTGCACTCAAAGCGTTTCAGTTAGATCTTTAGATTTCAGAGCGAAACATCCAGAGAGCGTTTTCTACTTATATTATTTAGTTAGGCTGCCGTGATAAGCGTCGCTTTTGCAGTTACATAAAGCCTTAAAATTGTGGAAAATTTCAATTCAATTCAAAGTGTACACAAAAAAAAACAAAAACAAACAGACTGAGAAATGGAGGTGCCACCGCCACTTGTACTAAAGCGGGCACTTTTTGTGCCCAGCAAGACCCTGATGGGCCCGGGTCCATCCAACTGCTCGCAGCGTGTGCTGGAGGCCATGAGCAATCCGGTGCTGGGACATATGCATCCGGAGTGCCTGCAGGTTTGTCCATATACTATAATTTTCTACTTGCAAATAGCTCTCAATATTCTCCATGTGCGAGCTGTGCATTTTTCACGCTCCTTGTAAATCGCCATTGGGCTCTGTTTCTCCTTAACCTAACATATCTAACAGTCTACTTTGACAGTCATGTTAATGTTCATGTTAATGCTATGCTAAGTTGCAGTTTAGAGTGGAAAGGAGCATTAATGCTGTTTAAACTCATTGCTTACGGCGGTAATCGCTTGAAAGTCTTGGAATATGTCGACTATTATACCCTATATCTATTGAAAATAAGGGTTACTTGGTTACTTATGCTACAGTTGAAAGTCAGACAGTATTCATCAAGCTGATTCGATTTAGCAGGTCACATTTGGATACATTCAAATGTCTTAAACAGTTCAGGTTTACCTTAGGTTTTGAAAATACCCTCCGATATTTTCTCAAAATCGTTGACTATCGATTTGAAGCACAAGTTCAATGGGCATACCTCCGAGACTACGTGAGCTAGAGTCATTAAATTTGGTACGTAGACTCTTGCGTGGATTACACACAAGCACTTTGGGAGATATAGGATATATATTGGCTTATTGCGAAGGAATATAGGAATTATCGTTCGATAAAGAATTTCTTTTATGTAAAACTGTTTTGTTTTTCAAGTTCTCAAGACGAAACATGACATTTACGATTTCTATCATGTTTCTTAGGCATAAGCGAAATCTAATAAATATCTGACTGATATATCATATAGATCTATAGGGAGAATCAGACGAAACGTGAGCTTATGAATCTAGCTTAAAATAAAGTAGTATATTTAATGTTTCAATTTTCGTAAGGAAAATTCAAGTAAGAATCACTTTTGGGAAATTTCGCCTTAGCGAGGGCCTACTGTATTGGGTATATTTTGAGCTTAGATTCGAATAAAATAGTATTGACTGGACTTACCCCTTCGGATATTATGCACCATGAATTGTGTCCATTATTGGCCATTTGCTTTGGTCTAATGAAATGCTGACTTGCTCTAATGAAATGCTGACTTGCTCTAATGAAATGGTGACTTGCTCTGGCGCTGCTCCACAGATCATGGACGAGGTGAAGGAGGGCATCAAGTACATATTCCAGACACTGAACGATGCCACAATGTGCATTAGCGGGGCCGGGCACAGCGGCATGGAGGCGGCCCTGTGCAATCTGATCGAGGACGATGACGTCGTCCTGATGGGCATCACCGGCGTCTGGGGCCATCGGGCGGCCGATATGGCGCGACGCTATGGCGCCGATGTCCGCTATGTGGAGGCCAGCTTTGGGCGTGCTCTCACCTTGGAGGAGATACGCTTCGCGTTCGATACACACAAGCCGCGCGTGTTTTTCGTGACGCAGGGCGACTCCTCGACGGGCATACTGCAGCGGCACATTAGCGAAATTGGCGAACTGTGCCGGCTGCACGATTGCTTCTTGGTCGTGGACGTGGTGGCCTCATTGGGCGGCACCCACTTCCTGATGGACGAGTGGAAGGTGGATGTGGCATATACGGGCTCACAGAAATCGTTGGGCGGCCCGGCCGGCCTGACGCCCATCTCGTTCAGCAAACGGGCTTTGACCCACATCAGGCAACGCAAGTCCAAGCCGAAGGTCTACTATTTCGATATACTGCTGATCGGGCAATATTGGGGCTGCTATGGAACGCCGCGCAGCTATCATCACACAATATCCTCGACACTGTTGTACGGCCTGCGCGAGGCACTGGCCCACTTCTGTGCGATGGGGCTGAAGAAGGTGGTGCAGCGACATCAGGAGTGCTCGAATCGCCTCCAGCTGGGCATTGAGGAGCTGGGCCTGGAAATGTTTGTGCAGCACGAGCCGGATCGCCTGCCCACGGTCAATACGATTAAAGTGCCCTTTGGCGTCGACTGGAAGAAGGTCGCCGATTATGCGATGCGCAAGTGCGTCACCTGATACTCGCGACTCTTTGATATAACGTAAATCATATTTTTCCAATTTGGATTTTGCAGATATAATCTGGAAATTAGCGGCGGCCTGGGTCCCACTGTGGAGCATGTGTTTCGTATTGGCCTGATGGGCGAGAATGCCACATTGGAGAAGGTCGACATGGTGCTTAGCATCTTGAATGAGGCCATCCAGAGCATTAAATTGCGTGCAGTCAAAGCGGAACGCTCCAAAATATGATAATATTAATACTATAACTAACTATTCAAGCTGGCACTATTGATTTACTTGTTTATGTTGCATATTCAAAATAAGTTTCAAATAAAAACTATAAATTTAACTTTAAACAGCGCAACGCAAATTACTTCATTTGAATCTAGGCGCGCATTTAACGGCAACAGATGAACCCATGTTAAGTTAACAAACATACTGTTAAGCGCATTTAACATACATTCGTGCCTGTTGCCAGCCAAGAAACTAAATTATGCAAGCCGGCTTTACAGTTTAGTTAACACTTGTTCAAATTGCAAATTCATTTAAAATAATACATCGAAATATACAAAAATTTGCAGCTTGAATTCAAGTGCTTAACAGCAGCTGCCTAATGCAATGTTAGACTCAAAAAGGCACTGTTAACCATTTGGCACGCTTGCATAACTTTACAACACTTAAATGAGATGAAAATTGAAATTGTTTGCCGGGCCTGTTTAGATTTTGTCTTTTGGCAATAACAAAAAATTGCAAAGAAATAAATGACTTATAAGTTTATTGAATGGGCCAAGCAAAGACTTGGCCCGTTCAAGCGGCACTAGCACTCTGAATATACAATCTAGAGAAAAAAAATAGTTAAAAATTGTACACTTAAATGTTTATTTGTTGTTGTTGTTGTTGTATGGGATCAACTCTCTACTTGAATCGACGTCCATTTGCTTTTAGGCATACAATAGTTGGTGCGTGCATCTGGATAAACCTAACCCTGCTTCTGGGCCAATTCACGAGCCTTGGCACGCTCCAGCTTGGCGATGCGAGCCAAACTCTTCGAGCCGAGAATACCACCGCCCCAGTGACGACGGATCTCCTCGTGGCGCTCATTGAAGTTGGTCTTAACGGCCTCCAGCACCTTGCCAAAGTTGGCCTTGTCGTTGTTCTCAACGGTGGTCAGGGCCAGAGCGGTGCAGGTCTTGCGGCGCACCAGACGTCCCAAACGTGCCTTGCCCTTCACAATGCAATATGGTACGCCCATTTTGCGGCACAAGGCGGGCAGGAAGAGCACCAACTGCAAGAAAGATCACAAACGTTAAGCCCTTGCTCTCAAATCAACTGCGACACGTGCTCCTCTTTGGGGCGAGATGGGTTCGGGGCCGGGGGGAGGTTTTTGTTGCAAACAAATTCTCAGCTGTCAATTTACCACAGCCAACGTCTGAATAAACGTTTCAGTTGAAGAAATTCAATTAACATCATGGAATGAGCGCAACTTGTTGGGCTAGAGATGGGTTTAACAAATGGCGAGGAGCGTTTACCTCTAGAGGATCGACATCGTGAGCGATGACAACCAGCTGAGCTTTCTTCTGCTCGATGAGCTTGGTGACGGTATTGGTGCCGGCCGACACGAAGCTGGGCTTCTTCTTGGGCTCCACTTCCTTGCCCTTGGCCTTGGCCTCGGCCAGTTTCTTTAGGCGCTGCTTCTTGGCCAGCGGTGACTCTGGACGATATTTCTCCAGCAGCTTGAATAGCTTGACGGCTGTCGTCTTGTCCAGGGTCTGGCTGAACTGGTTAATTGGTGGCGGCACCTTCAGACGCTTCTGCAGCACAGCCTTTTGGCGCTGAACGCGAATGTATTTGGGCCAACGCACAAAACGCGACAAATCACGTTTGGGCTGAACATTTTGGCCTGCAAATTCCAGTTAATTAATTTGAGTACAATTCCAGATGTAAGCCATAAGTTAAGCACTTACCAATGCCAAAGTTCTTGGGACGCTTCTCGAAGAGCTGGTTAACAACTTTCTTGACCACGGGCTTCTTCACAGCCAATGGGGCTGGGGCCACCTTCTTGGTCACTGGCTTCTTCTTTGGCCTGGGCTGTAACATGCATGAAATTGATTCAGTTTAATACAACACGGCCATATGACATATATAACTAGTGTTATATGTGCATATTGGGTACACTTGTATGGAGGCACAAACACAAAACACAAATAAAAAAAATTGCAGAAAAAAATAATGTAAATCCAAATAATTCGCGTCACGATACGTTTGGCACTTGAAATGTTTGGTTTAATTGGTTGGGTAGCATTGTTTACCTTCTTAACAACCATTTTCACACAGTTTTATTTAACGATGCTAACAAAAAAAGCAGATTATTTTGCGGGTCGTTTAAAAAGACCAGCTTTACGTCTGCCCGTCAGAAAGGTAAAGGAATGGCGTGAGCGGCGGAAGTTGCCTGCTTGTCAAAGTTGGCATTTGCCAGAAACAGGGTTGCATTTATCTAGAGTTTATGCGCATCGGCCAATAGGTGGCGCACGCAGAGTTGCATGTCATGTCATTCGATATGCCAATTTTCGATATATTCATAGCAATGTGACCGTAGTCGTTAAGTATGAAAATACCAAAATCTACTGCTAAAACTACTAGAATTATTTGCTGCGCAGTGAAATACGTGCACACTTCAACAACTATAATTTATTCTACCTGTTGCATTACCATTTGCGCTTGCGCCCAAATGTTAAAATTTGCATATAAATTAATTAAAGTCGAACTGAAATTTGGGTTTCGTTATTGTGCTGTGCAAGTGGTGCATTTGAACAAAACCTAAAGTGCAGCAAAAGGTACTGATTGACATGGTGCTGCAATGCACACCTCCCCTGCCCAGGCAGGGCCACCATTTTTAATTTCTTTGTTTATTTTGTGTTCCATCTTCGTCGCAGTGTCAGCAACGATCGCAGCCGAATTTGAATGCATAAACAGAGAACGAGAACGTGAATAAAAACGAAAACCATAAACAAAACGCTAATGAAATCATGAAATGATGGAAAAAACAACAACAACAATAGTTTAAAGAAAAGAAAATGAAGTGAGTGCTTAATATCACAAAATATGGCCAGCAACGGGGCTGGTGGTGGCGCTGCTGCTGGCGGCGGCGGTGGCGGAGGTGCATGTATAGCTGGAGGTGGCGGAGGAGCAGGCATCAATCACACGCACGCCGTTTGCGTCTGGGAGTTTGAGTCGCGCGGCGGCAAATGGTTGCCCTATTCGCCGGCCGTTTCACAGCATTTGGAGCGTGCGCATGTCAAGAAATTGACGCGGGTCATGCTCAGCGATGCCGATCCCAGCCTGGAGCAATACTATGTCAATGTGCGCACCATGACCCAGGAGTCGGACACCGAATTGGAGGCGGGCTTGATGACAATCGGCGTGCGGCGCATGCTCTATGCGCCCAGCAGTCCGGCGGGCAAGGGCACCAAATGGGAATGGTCCGGCGGCAGTGCGGACAGCAATTGCGATTGGCGGCCATACAACATGCACGTGCAGTGCATCATTGAGGATGCGTGGGCGCGTGTAAGTACTCGCAGCTGGAATGGCCCACCTATCACATATTTATTGTTAAACAATATTCCATTTGCATTGCAGGGCGAACAAACCTTGGATCTGTGCCACACGAACATCAGCCTGCCCTATACGATTAACTTTTGCAATTTAACGCAAATGCGCCAGCCGAGCGGTCCATTGCGTGGCATACGCCGCACACAGCAGGCGCCCTATCCGCTGGTCAAGCTGACGCCGCAGCAGGCGCTCCAGCTGAAGGGCAACGGGCACGATTACGCGGCCAATCATCATCAGCAGCAGCAGCAGCAGCGCAACAATACGCTGCCCAAAATGGGCGCCATGCTGCCGCCCATGCATCGCCAGCAGCATCCGTTGCCCATGCCCGTGAGCAATGGACATCATCAGCAGAAGCAGCAACAGCAGCAACACCAACATCAGCAGCAAATGCAGCAACATTCCCATGCACAACAGCAGCGCAAGCCGCACAAGAAGCACAGCGAGATTTCGACGACAAATCTGCGCCAGATACTCAACAATCTAAACATATTTGGCAGCAGCACCAAGCATAGCAACAGCAACAGCAGCAGCAGCCACAGCAGCAGCAACTGCGGCGGTAATCATCTGGCGACGGCAACTGCGGCCAGCAGCTGTGCCTCGAATGTGGTCGGTTCGACGCTGCACTTGATGCAGCATCAGCACCAGCACCAGGCGCACTTCTCGCACAGCAGTAAAAGCATGCTGACCTCCTCCATGAACAGCCATCATAGCCGCTGCTCGGAGGGCTCACTGCAGTCGCAGCGCAGCAGCCGCATGGGCTCGCATCGTTCGCGCTCGCGCACGCGTGCCTCGGATACGGACACGAACAGCGTGAAGTCGCATCGCCGCCGGCCGAGCGTGGATACCGTCTCCACGTACCTTAGCCACGAGAGCAAGGAGAGCCTGCGCAGCCGCAATTTTGCCATATCTGTGAACGATCTGCTCGACTGTTCGCTGGGCAGTGATGAGGTGTTTGTGCCATCGCTGCCGCCATCGTCGCTAGGCGAACGGGCGCCGGTGCCGCCGCCATTGCCCATGCCGCATCATCATCAACAGCATCAGCAGCAACAGCAGCAACAGCAGCAACAACAGCAGCAACAACAGCAGCAGCAACAGCAGCAGCAATCAATCGCTGGTTCGATTGTGGGCGTGGACCCAGCCAGTGATATGATATCGCGCTTCGTGAAGGTCGTTGAGCCGCCGCTGTGGCCCAACGCACAGCCCTGCCCCATGTGCATGGAGGAGCTGGTTCACTCGGCTCAGAATCCAGCCATATCGCTGAGTCGCTGCCAGCATTTGATGCATCTGCAGTGCCTCAATGGCATGATCATAGCACAGCAGAACGAGCTAAATAAGGTGACTATAAAAGATTGTGGCCAAAGCTGAGGCTGGCTGCCAAAGGGAAAGGGCAAAGTTCAAATGTTCTCCAAACAAAGTGAACGCAAGTTTTCTTGTTGTATTTCAATCGTGCTAACTCACTTTTAATTATGCCAAATCTCTTGATCTTACGCTTGCAGCAAAACCTATTCATTGAGTGTCCCGTTTGTGGCATTGTCTATGGCGAGAAGGTTGGCAACCAGCCCATTGGCACCATGTCCTGGAGCATCATAAGCAAAAGCTTGCCCGGCCACGAGGGCCAGAACACCATACAGATTGTATACGAGTGAGTTGGCAGGCCATAAAATGTGCACCATCCCGCTCTAACCTCCATCTCTCTCTCTCTTTTTCTCTCTCGCTCTCTCTGTCGTTGTCGCTTGCAGCATTGCGTCGGGCCTGCAAACCGCTGAGCATCCGCATCCGGGACGCGCCTTCTTTGCCGTTGGATTTCCGCGCATCTGCTATCTGCCAGACTGTCCGCTGGGGCGCAAGGTGTTGCGCTTCCTGAAGATCGCCTTCGATCGACGTTTGCTGTTCTCGATTGGACGTTCGGTGACCACCGGCCGCGAGGATGTGGTCATTTGGAATAGCGTTGATCATAAGACACAGTTCAATATGTTCCCGGATCCCACCTACTTGCAGCGCACCATGCAGCAGCTGGTGCATCTGGGCGTTACGGATTGAATTAATTACCTACCTGCTGCCGACTTAATTCATAGGTTCTCTCGCTTCCAAGTCCTTTTTAAGAAAAAAAATCTCAATGTGTGTGCAATTTTATATGAGTTTTCGTTTTCGTTTTAATTTAATTTTATTTTTATTTTTACTTTTTTTTTTGATTCGTGTATACATTGTATGTGTCCGCCAGCGTTCGAGCTGCTCGAACCCTAAACAACAACTGCAAATGCAATTTCCATTTACAATTCTTCATTTAATAAGACGGAACTGTTCTTCCATTTGTAGTCGTTAAGCAAATGCATACAAAAAACGAATGTATTGTATTCTGTATTGTATTTAGAAATCGTTTATACACACACATATATATACATATATATAAATGTATATATATATATGTTGTCTATAAGGCCATAGTTGTTACGCTCCACTGTATTGCCACACTAGAAGTTTTCACAATCTAAAGACACCTACTAGTATTAGTTAGTATCTTATATTGTAGCATAACTAAGCGTTTAAGTGTTAAGCTGTGCCAAAATTCTCAAATGTTAAATGTTTCTCATTTCCAATTGCATCGAATTTAACACGCATCTCAGTTCAGTTTAGTTTTCATTTAGTGTATTCATCAGCCATAGCATATAACTCGAGAGTATTTAGTTAAATGGCCCTATTCATGTGAATCTGTATTGTATTCAAAACAATTTATGAATCATTTAGTATAGCAAGAAAATTGTTACGCTTTCCATACAAATCATTCGAATGTTTATTGCATTGGCTTTAGTGAATGCTTTATTTTTGTGATTTTATTTGAAATCGTTTTTGATTCATAACAGCGTTAACTCATTATTTCTTGCACTCATAACTCATACAGACATGTCTCATTCGAATTTGTACAATTTTGTGTTAGGTTCATTTTAATTTTGTAATGCACCATGTGATTGTATTTCGAATTGTCCTAAATTTCGTAAGCATAAAGATTCATTTGTAAATTGTAACTCATTCGAATGATAATTGATTCAAAAACTTCAAATTGTATTCTCATGTGATTTTATTAAGCTATTTGAATTTGTCATAATTTCCGCTGAGCTCGTAATTAATTTATTTAACAATATTGGAGCCCTTTTCTAAATCGAAATCGATTTGTGATTCACTTTGTTTTTGAATCCATTCATTTGATTCATTCAATACGTTTCGAATGAACACTTCAGCGGCCACTTCTAATCTTTCTCTTTTGTTCTATGTAATTTCGATTTGGAATTTGTAATTGTTTTTATTTTTGTTTTTTTTTTTTGGCAAACTATAAGTAACTAATACTTTACACACACACACACACACACGCATACATATATTCATTATACATACATATATCTATGTATACTATTATATATTCGCACACATTATATGATATATATATATATATATATATATATATAGTTTTTTTTTTCAATTGTTGCTTTCATATTGATATCATCTCGACGACATTCTCGAACATACGATACGATATATGCCATATATATATATGTGTGTATGTATATATATATGGGTATACAGATAGCTATATACTATATAGAGAGACAGCTATTGGGCATGCCCGGTTTATAATATAACTAAGTTGTATTTAGCACTGATTAGTTGTTAGTTAAACACATTGCGTAAACTGCATTCAGTATGGCATTAACTTAGCTATTAACTATAAAAGATTCTATACAAATTTATTCCTTATTGTATACCTAGTTTAAATAAAAAAACCAGCAAAAATGTTTTTAAAATAATGATCTGT